CGAAAGATCCATCTCTCAGGCTCCCCGACCGATCAGAGGAATTATCCACCTTGCTATATTGCTGAGGGTAGGGCTTGCACCTGTTCCAATGTTTTTCTTCTCAGTCTGACTTGACTTTAAAACAGGATGCACCTATTGCCAAGATGGCCTTCTCCAACTGGGTGGCTGCAAATGCACCCAAAGTGACTGGTACATGGAATCTGCACAAGAGATTCAAAGAAGAAAAATCCCTGGACTTCTTTGTCCTGGCTAGCTCCATGGTGACCATTGTCGAACGGCCGGGCCAAGGCAACTACAGTGCTGCGAACACATTCCTCGAGGCATTCAGCCAATATCGACAGGCACTCTCTCTGCCCGCGTCGGTCCAAGATTGGCAATTTCGTTATAGGCAAGGAGTTCGACATGTTGGAGATCCACACCATTGATCCGGAGAATCCAGGTCGCAGTCTGGGCATCATCACGCTGATCGAGGATGAGGACTCGACAGCGGTCATCTTCGAAAAATTTCTCATGACGGGGGATGACCGGAACATCGCCAAGGTGTATGTGCGTGGGTGGTCAATAAAGGCCACTTAGGCTGGTATTTGTTTGCCACTGGGCCATGAATGATCGATTTGAACATTTTGTTCAATTTGCAGACCCATGCAGATACGTGTCGACAGACGGACACCACATACGTAGGCAATTGTCAAACTGTTAAGAGGAAACGGATACAGCCTGCTGCAATACCTAAATATTTCATGCCATCCCACTTACTGCACCACGTCTTTCCTGTTATATTTTCCATTTTTCAGCACACGAACTACGGTGAAGTCCTTTTCCCCATGACAAGATTCCTAAGCTGGCAGGTGACTTCGGGGTCAGGTCACACGGCCAGCCTAACCCCAGACCCTAAACCCTAAGTCCAGGTCCTACATCGCATCCTCTCGTCACAGCCAAAGATCGCCAAGTGCCGATCACGTTTTGCCGATTCGACTGTCGCTTCGTTTGTTTGGGGTGGATAATTCGACAGCCAAGACGATGCCGCGCAACCAGCTTGAGGGGGACTGGTTGAATGAACATATTGTTGAGTTGCTGAAGGAGCGGGATGAAAAGAAATAACTTATCTGAATCACACGAGCCGGTCGACGCGGAGGTCTTTACAATAAAATTCAGACACGACGAAAATATGAGTCGATGGGCTGTCGACTGGCTATATGCAGCACGCATTATATACTAGACAGGAAGGAATGAACGGATATGTGCATAAATATCGGCGTTGTACATACATATATAGCTATGGTACGGCACGAAAAAGACAAAAATGGTGGAACCGGGATATATCTGTCCATGTAGATAAAAGAGAAATATCAACACTTGAGTCTAAATCCTTCACATAAAACATCTATAAAAGTTACATAAAAGAAGATTCCTACCTGCCAACCAGTTTAGTACGGAGAAATCTTCAACAAGACTAGCTAGGTAATCACTACACGTATTATATTGTTCCATGTATGTGATAGATCCTAAGAAGGAAAAGATAGCGCGAGTAAGGTTATAGTTGGACGATATACTAGAATTCTATATGCACCTATATTCAGGACAGTAGTACATAGGACTGCTTAGTCTCTTTATGATTGCCTTCCCCTTTGCTATACCTGGTCCCTTAGGTATATCTTTAAGGCTTACTTTATTAGTCAGTCTTATAGCTTAGTATATTTTTTCAGAAGCTAGTTTATGAAAGTATTCTTAATCTTTTATCAGTATTAGTTTATTATATAGCTCGCTAGTAATTTCGGAGTCAATGTCTTATTAGTCTTGCTAAATAATTAATCTTGCCGAACAATAGACCGGCCTTCTTGGTCTATCTACAACTTAGTAAAGGTATCAGTAATTTAGTTATAGGATACAAGCCTTAAATCCCTCGCTCCGCTCGGGCGGCTTGCTGGGACTGTTAAATGACTTAATATTACCTAAGATTCCTATTCCTAACTACTGGTGAAGCACGTGGCTCTCGTCCCTCGACTGGCGCCGCGACGGTCCCACGCCTAAGGGCGATCAGCAACAATCCACTACGACGACAGAGAGCAGTAATTAATAAATCACTGCAGGCTTGGAAAGTAATGGATTTAAAGGTCTACGTTCTTTTTTGTTTTTCTACATAGCGTTATAGAGTCCTAAGATGCTTATATCAGATCAAGATTCCTCACAGTCGCAACTACTTTACTTTTCCTAAAGGATTATGTACATGTCCTATGCAAGTAAGCCAAAGAACTCTGATGCAAAGACAGACGGATGTGACATTGCGATCGCGCCTCGTATCATACCGTACTGTATTGTGTTTATCTACGCTATGATTAATTCTAGTCACTCGGTCAAGCTGCATGGACGGTTAATTGCTCAAGCTATATCGAATATTTACGAAAACATCTAAATCAGTATCAAATCGAGGCATATATCGCTTTGGATGCTGTCATGACAGTCTTCTGAAATATCCCGGCCTCTATCTTGATAAATCAATCAGCTCAATATAAAACCTGGATATCCCAGAGCCACCGTGCTGGTTATCCGTTTGATGTAGTCCGTCAGTCCCCCCAAGTAGTTGAGCATTTCCTTGGGCTTTCCGGGGATATTCGTTCCCATATACTCCGAGTTCGTTTCCGGCAGCAAGGTAGCGTCTCCGATGCTGTTCACCAGAGCTCTCCAGTTCTGCTCGGCTGCGGCCGTCGGTTCGAGCTCCCGACGGTCATGATCCCGCAGATACGCCAGCGTCTGCACGATCCAATCTCCCTGAACTTCAGCGCAAGTGGGCCCGTTGCAGAAGGATGTTGGGCCCTGGGGGCCGTACAGAAAGTACATATTAGGAAATCCTGCCGTCATTAAGCCCAGATGAGTCCAGGTCCCCTTCTTCCACTTGGCTTGGAGGGATTCGGCCTTCCGGCCTTTGATATCGATGTTGAGAATCCCTCCCGTCACCGAGTCGAATCCCGTAGCCAGGATCAGAATATCGAGCTCGTGGAATGCCCCATCCTGGGTTACGACCCCATTCGGCAGTACTTCGACGATCGGATTGGCCTTTGCGTCGACCAACGACACGTTCTCCTGGTTGTAGACCTCGTAATACCTCTGCTCCAGCGTCGCTCTCTTCGTGCCAAAGTAGTATGGAGGATTCTCGGGCGCCAGAAGCTCTGCTTTCTTGGGGTCTTTGATGCGCGGGAGGACTTTGCTACGCCAGAAGTCGTACGCCTGCTTGTTGGAGTCCTTGTTCATGATGACGTCGCGGTATGTGGCCAACCAGAACGAGAGGCCACCTTCCTCCCAGATCTGCTCAAAGAACGCCTGTCGCTCTTCGGGCGGCACGTCGGCGGCGGACTGGGGATGAAATTCCCGATCGATTCCCGCAAACGTGTGCTTGCGCAGTTCGTATAGCGCCGCGTACCGGCTCTTGTCTTGATCCGTCACTGATAGTTTCCTCTGTCGCATCGGCAATGCATAGGTGGGATTGCGCTGAAACACGGTCAGGTGCTTGACTGTCGGTGCAACTTCCTGGATGACCTGCAAGCCACTCGACCCATTGCCGACAATTCCTATCCGTTTGCCCTCATAGTCAACGCCGCCTTGTGGCCATCGGGCAGTGTGGAAACAAGGGCCTGAGAAAGCTTCCAGATTCTTGAAGTTCGGGATGAACGGTTTCGCGGCAAATCCGGTCGCGAGGATGAAATGACGAGCAGTTCGCTCGCTGCCATCGTCCGTCGTCACTTTCCATTGACTGTTGCTCTCGTCGAATGTCGCTGCGACCACCCGGGTGTTGAACTGGATGTCTTTCTTCAGATGCAACTTAGACTCGACATGCTGGAAGTACCGCCGGATCTCGTCCACGCCGGGGTACTTCTCGGTCCAGACCCAATCCTTCCAGATGCTCTCGTCAGAAAACTCGTACAGGGGCACCATGGTGTCGACCCGGGCTCCGGGATAGCAGTTCCAGTACCAGACGCCGCCAATGTCCGCGGCTTCATCGATCACGAGGCATTTGAAGCCCAGGTTTCGGAGCTTATGGAGTGTGTAGCATCCTCCAAAGCCGCTTCCCACGATGATGGCGTCGTACTGGGGTTGGTCCTGAACGGAGCCCATGGTGAGTGGTTATCTTGGGTTGAAAGAAGGAATGAATTGTTTATCTTTCTTTTTGTTTAATTAATTGATGTCTCTCATTGTGGTGCTTGCCCTGTAATCAACCTTCTGATTATTTATATACTGCAAAGCTGCTTGTAGTTTTCTAGCATACGAAGGAGTATCACGCACCTACCATGGTGATGTTTCAAACCATCATCCATCAAATCCCATGTTCTCCCTACCTACCTAGACAGCACGGCCGGACTAACTGACCGCACGGACAGACGGTTCAAGCCGCATCATCGGCATGATCATCATTGCCATGATTGCCGTCATTTAATCCGTCCAAGTCCGAATATTTTGAATATCCCGGGTGCGAACCTGCAATTAGGCCGTGTCCGTCTCCAGATATGCCGGACAGGCCAAAGCCGAGCAACACCCCGCGCAAGACTGCAGTTTGGGAGTTGCATTGCAAAAATCGATCGTATATTAAGGAGACGAAGAGTTACTTGACTTTCTCCAATCTGCATTTGACTAATCTGTGACGAGTTATTGTTGTGCTGCTTGCCTGCTAGTGCTACTTTCGATTCTCGCTATTACAGACCAGCCCTCCCAATCAAGATGGATCAAAACGGATTCGTGAAAGACGATGTATGGATTCTGAGCCACATCCCCTGTAATTGGGAAGTCTCGTTAGCTGATTTATAATAAATAGGGAGCTTATAGCTCGATCGCGAAGCAGTATGACTTCCTTCGGATGCCCAAGAGCAAGGTATCAACCCGTAACCTTTGCTCCCAAGGAAGACCGCATCTTTGCATCTAACTAACACGTTTAATAAATAATAACAATAATATAGTACCACGACCCGGAACTAGCAACAGCCGAACAAGAAGTCCTCGACCAGCTCTATCGCGGCTGGCTGCACTACTGGAACCACGAATCCCGCGCCGACTTCCACAACGGGATGGCCGGTGCCCGCCGCTTCTACGACTTCCCAGAGATGCTCAGCTACGACATGTTCGGCAACACGATCCGCGGCAACTTCAACGAGCATTTCGAGTCGATTTTCCCCTACTGGAATGACGGGCAAATGGAGTTCAAGGATCTGGAGATTACGGCCCTGTCGAAGGATTTTGCCTACTCGACGATGATCCAGCATACCTGGGGCACAGCGGGCGGGACGCCGTTCGATACTGCGTTCCGGCGCACGGGAATTGCGCACAAGAGTAAGGAGGATGGGAAGTGGAGGTGGATTCATGAGCATCTCTCGTTTCCGGTGGATATGAAGACTCAAAAGGGGGACTTTACGGCGTCGCTGGATCCGGGGAAGGGGTTTAAACTCCAGTGAAAGTATATATAAACTCGACTAGTGGAGATTTTCTTTACTTACTGGAGACTCCTGGAGAAGAAAAGAAACAGGTTGGGGCTCAATTATGCATGTACCTAGGTATTTCTCCAGCAGATTGCGTACCTGACTTTTTTCTTTATATATACCTATATCGAGACACTTCCATGCTTCACCGATAAAGGTCCTGCAAAATAAATTGAACTTCAATCTCCAATATCAGCCCTCCATTATTTATCCTACACTATATATACATTGCTTGTCTCATACCTAGTCATGAGCATGAGCTATTTCATTATACGAAAAGGGTCGACAGATCGATCGGTTTCACAATCAAGAGCCGAAATGAAGGAGACTTGTTAACCAGCCTTTTTTTTGTCTCACCCAATCTCATCCTCCATCTCAATCCCTCAGGTTTAAATTAGAAATTAGACACTGGTAAAGTTCTGAATTCTGACGGTGTGCACTGACACATAACATACATAGTGACCTAAAAAAAGAAATGAGACCAAAAAAAAACATGACGAGAACCAGGGGCTTGCATGGTATCGGGAAATTTCAATCAAGACTATATAAACAGACCCGTCTATCACCCTATCGGCAGATTACTTCGACGGTTAGTCATACCAGCACCCTCAAACGACTCCGAGAAGAGCTCCGAAAGATACTGAGAAAACCTGCTATCCAGTTCTGGGTCGATTTGCATCGTGTCCCCCTCCCCAACCTGCGAACGGGTCACGGTCAGCAGGCACGTTATGGTCGGACCTCGAAAAACTTGAAACTGGATTGTTGTTATTATTATTGTTGCTGTTATTATGCAATGGACAGCGATCCGAAGAGTTGTTTGACGGCGGTGGTGGCGGAAAATTGAATAACGAACTACCACTTGGAGACTGATACTCTTCTTCTTCCAAGTGGGCGCAGCCAGTGTGATAATGTGGCGCTGCGGATGGTGGACTTCCGGATTTGGGGGTCAACCCATCATCAGATGGTGGCTTTTGTTGAGATTCTCCCCAGTTAGCGGTGGGATGAATATTGGTCGTTCGTAGTCCATTTCCTCTTGACGTGCTTGGAGAAATCGTCGAGCCCGACCCTCGAGTTTGATCTGCAGCAGCGGCAAGGGATGAATCCCGGTACCGGAAAAGGCGTCCCTCTAGAGAGTCCAGGTTATCCAACAATGCCAGAGGGGTATGCCAAAATTCAGTATATCGCTCGCAGGTAGCACGCAATGTCTCACACTTCGACTTCGCCTCATCCCTATCTTCCTCGTTTCCAAATACTATCCGCAGGACCTGGAGGGCCGCGGCCAACCAGACTGTGCTCGCGAGAAATGGATTTACATGTTTAACGTGATCCTCCGAACACCGAGTGGTAAGGGACCATATATCGTCCGCCGCCTGAAGACAGTTTTGCAAACCTTGGCAACTCACGGGTGTTTCTCGATCTGAAGGTGACCAGCCGGGCTCGGATGCGTTCCGCTTCCCCGAAAAGATGGTGCCAGAGACGATTTCCCCAAACGCGTAGTGGTGATAGATCATAAACCGGGCGAGTTGAATAGTGAGATAGATGCTGTACTTCGCACTATGGAGCCGTCTGTTCTCCACATCTGCGATGGAACCAAAGTCGAGATATTCTCCTTGGTACACTAGCGACTCGGGCAATTGGGATATCACATTCTGTAGAGCATGTACCAACGTCTTCAACCGTGCTGAGTCTTCTTGAGTCTTTTTCCTGCGAAACGAGTTCCGAAAGTAATGCAGGAGTTGTTCCGTATTGTCATGTGGGTCGACATCTAGTAAAACCCCTTGGAGATTCCCCCGGAGGAGGACCTGGGCATTTCTCATGAGCGAGTTGATGACAATCAGCCAAGCGGTCGGACTTTCATTTCTACACTTTTTCAGCATCTTCCATCGGTTGATGGGCTCTCTCGCCAGGAAGCAGCTACGCTGATACTGGTTGTTAAACCAGAACTCATCCTTGACTGGAAGATACGTATCGATCATATTCCAGTCGATGGCCGTCGGACATCTTCGGATGGTGCTTGCAAAATTATCCATTTCCCAAATGGCCCACCAACATCGTCGTCGTTCTTCGTCCGCAGTCCAGCGCGCGAGATCTTGGCCAACCTTTACGTACTCCTCACGGGCTTGGTAGTCGATCAGATGAAGATGAAGTTCGTAGGCCACTAGAACGCACGAACCCAGGAGCCTCCACGCCCGTCCTCGCACACCATTCGTCAATTCACAGAAGGTAATGAGGGTCATGGCTTGAAGAAGGCAAAGAGAGGGTGGCGTGTCGGATGTTTCCTTTAGAGAGTTTTCGATCAACTCCAACGCTTGGTGGTGGAATCGCCTGTAATCCAGAGTCCGCGGCTCTATCTGTTGCCGGTCCACACCATCGATTGAGCTAGCGGTCTCAAACCGGGCAGAGAATGAAAACATGGCAGCAAACAAGGCCTGGAGATGACGCGGATTCTCGATATTCTGGATTTTATATCCGAATGAAGGCTGATGAAACAGTGAAAAAGCGGTCATGTTGTCAAAGTAGGAATCAATCCTGTCATGCAGTATCAGAATTGCTCAATGCAAAAGGATTACAGATTTATGCCTATCCTCACAGTCTTTGAAACATCCGTATTGACAGACCCAAAACATTACAGGTCTCCGTCAGCAGCGTCTGTGCTCCTACGAGGTTTAGAAGAGAGCTGGATGACGACATGTCTCTCCTAGTGGGCAATGGAGACGAACATATCTCGTGTGTCGGGTGAATGAGAGACGAAAGGCTGATGGCCTTGACAAAGTTGGATTCCACATCTGGGGAGCCTGATGAGTTGGAATCCGCTCCCAGCTCTTCCGCCATGAACTTGCCGTGCGATGATGCAAAGAAATCAGCTCTGGAAGGGTCACCAGATATAGCGGCACGCCGCGAATTGAAGGATAAGTCTGTTCCTTGCTCGTCTAGCAGAATGCAGTCATCTACGTCTTCTTCAAGATTGTCATTGATGATGCCTTGCCACTGATGCTGGCTACCTCTGACCCCGTTCATTGGGGCCTCCTTCCGCGCTCGTTGGGAAGATACTAGGGACCCTGTCAGCCGTCTTCCACGAAGCAACCTCCAACAGGGGTGGACACTGACCGCTTTTAGGACCTGGTTTGAGACGCTTTGTTGGATAAGTACAGCTCTGCTGCAGTTTTGTACATAACAGACAAGAGGGGAGCGTGCGATCGCTTCATCTAGCGCGTTAGCAGAGAAGCACTCAAGCAGCGCCGCTCGTGAAGAATCCGGTCACCTACCATTTTGTCTTTTTCCTGCGAGTGGGTACGCGTGTTATTTTACCATTTTCCCATACCTTCTAAGAGACGGCCGCACTTGCCTTCGACATGCGCTGCAAGCTAACCGGGACCTGGGGACCAGATACGCGTCCTCAAAGTCCACTTCGTGTCTCCCTCGCACGTTGAGAGCCATGGTTCTGCGATCGTCTGTTCGTGCACAGAGCCACAATAATCCAAGAGACGAGCAACCAGGCGAGCGGTGGGATGCGAATGTTCGTCGGGCCGAGACTTGAGGTTTGCCACCGGCATAGTTTTGTGGGGGTTGCGGGGTTGACATCCGGGGAACCTTAAACTACGACCTTGCCTCCTTACCCCAGACTGGTGCGTGATGATCTCAACGTGGACCCCCGCAGATCCGCTGAACGCCGTCTAGGCAGACCACGACCCTGATTCTAGCAAAGCACTACTCCTGTCTTCTTATTGATCTACCTCTACAAGACAACTCTGGTGTCAGGAAAAAGTTGCGAGCCTTTCCCATCACATCTACACGCACTATCGATGGACCTCGTTCAGTATGGGTTTACGAATGCACCTACCGCCCCTCAAATGGGCTTGTGATATACCCCAGGCCTCTAATGAAGCCCATTCGGACTGTGACTCCAAGCAATGGTGTTCCGGCTGGGCGTTAAGGTTCCAGAGCGGAAGACCGGGGTAACTTCGCGTCTACCTGATGGATGGAGGGAATCTGCCCGGAGATGTCCCGTTCAGTCAAATGCAAGATCTTGACGCTCTGACTCGAAGTTGTCAATTTGGGTTACCCATTTCTGAGTGCTAGTATCTTGTTATCCCACTTTACCTATAAAATCATATCTCACCCCCTATAGCAATTCTCTGACGGCGAATATCTCCACCTCTGTCAATCACACCGGAAGAGTAACTATTCGGAGCCAGTTTTGTCAGACAATTGCTCACAATACCTGTCAAGACGTGAAGTCTTCAGGCCTCTAGTCGTCAGTATGGGATCGTTTGGCGACAAACCACATGCGGGTGGGGAGCACGCAAACATCAAAGTCAAGATAACCGTGACAAATATCATGGTAATGTCGCTGAAGTCGCCTTTCGAGCCGACCTACTAACGCAGCGTAGACCATTTTAGTGGCTGGAATGGGCAGTTTTATGTTTGGATATGCAAACAATTCGATTGCAGGAACACTCGTGCAGACCTCGTTTGTCTCGAAGTTCCTGAGCGGCAGCAATGCGAACTCGATCGTCGGAGGCATCATGGGAGCGTATGGATTGACCGGATTCGATGTAAAGACGATCGCTAAAATGCATCCAGGTTCCTGGGAGGTGGTCTGCTCGGGGCGGTGGTTCAGGCACCGATCTCTAACCACTTCGGACGCCGCATTGCCACGGGTTCAGCGGCGGTTCTCACTGTCATATCGGGCGCTCTCCAAGCGGGGAGTGTTCATGTCGCCATGTTCATCGTGGCCCGTCTTCTTTGCGGGATTGGCGCGGGAATCGTCATCACGAACTGCCCGGTCTACATGAGTGAAATCTCGCCGCCCAACATCCGAGGAATGCTGGTCGGCAATCACGCCATCTCCATCGTGTATGCCTATATATTCTCGTCCCTCATGGCTCTTGCTTTCAACTACGTGGATGCGCCGTATCAATGGCGTCTGCAGTTTGTCCTGCTCACGTTTATTGGGCTGGTGCTCTTCGTCTCGTTGATCTTCCTGCCGGAATCTCCGAGATGGTTGTGTGATAAGGGGAGATATGACGAGGCCTGGAAGGTCCTCCAACGCCTCCACCAGTCGAAAGATGACCCGGACGCTCACCTGGCCGCCACGGAAATGGCTCAGATCAAGGCACAAATCGAAACCGAACGGACATTACCGCGAGGCTATCTGCATATTCTCAGCGCCCCTCATCTCCGCCACCGAGCTATATGCTCCATTCTCACGTGGATTATGGGGCAGTCCACTGGAATTCTAGTCATCGCGAACCTTACGCCTGTTCTTTTCGGGAAACTCGGCTTTGGCGTGGTCCTCCAGCTTGGTCTGTCTGTTGTCTGGACGGTCTGCGCTCTGTTAGGATGCTATGTGAACGCTGTATTGATGGATCGAATTGGTCGAGTGAGACTTCTGGGTAAGTATACGGCGACGACGGAGGAGACACTCATTAACTAACATCTTTCGCAGTAACTGGTGGCTATTTATGTAGTGCCGTTCTCATCTGCGAGGCGGTTCTCCAGAAGTTCTACATTGGAGGTACCGACAAGGCCGGGCTCAACGCCGCCGTCGCCTTTTATTTCCTGTTCATCTTTGCCTACGGCAGTACGGTGGATTGCGCCGCGTATGTCTACATTTCCGAAATCTGGCCCACCCACCTCCGAAGCTATGGGACGACGATCGGGCTGGTATCGTTTTTTGGCTGTGCGATCGCATATACGAGCCCGGCCTCGTTGGCCTTTCAACAGATTGGATGGAAATATTACTGGGTGATGATTTGTGTCTGTATTGCTTCGGCTACGGCTATTCTATTTATATGCCCTGAGGTAAGACCATGGCCTTTTTTTTTCTCTATCAGACATTCGACCGCTGACATTACGACCGACAGACTGCGAGACTTACTCTCGAGGAGATCAATGCCAAATTCGGAGATCCGGTAGCCTTACAGTTTGGCTCGGAGCTGCAGTCGGAGGCTGATGGGAACCTAGAGAAAGAAGAGGAAGCCCAAGTGGAGCATGTCGGAGTGGAAGAGTAATACTAATCGTTTGCAGCCGAGAGAGGACAAACTTCTTACATTTTTCACAGACATACTACCTTTGTGCTTTTTTTCTTCCCTTGTATACAGGAAATTATGTATACATATTTTCATGTGTCCAGCTGCAATTATTCCCCCTGTGAAACATCTTAAGTTGGGTGCAGCCGTTCCCCATTATTCCCAGAAAGCCTCGATACATACAAGGCAAATACATAACCCTATGCATAGGAAACGGCCGGGGAGGAATTTACATCTGGGAAGATCGGGCGCTGACCGATAGTGTGTCGAGTGGAGAGCGAGAGAGGGTTCATGAAACCGGTCAGCGGGGCCATATACCGCGAGCAAAAAGCCCACGGTCGGATTGATTGGCACATATACCGGCATAATTTTAATAATTTAAGCGTTTCGGTCGGAATAACTGAGATACATTACAGATGTATTATGTAGGTCACTTATGTAGTAGTGAAAGTTGTTCCAAAACACCCCGAAGTTCCCCCGAGGAGGATATCATCATTGAACACTTGAGACATTGAAACGTATGCTCGTAACCTTTTTCAGTATTCCAGGATCCATCGATCGATCATCGTGGAGAGCTGGTTTTAGTTACCTTCTTCTTTCCCCAACTATATCGTGAACAAAAAAAAAGGTTACCTAGACATGCATACTTTTTATGCATGTGTATGGATTCCCGATCCAATACCGGGGGTGCGGGCTTGGTTGGGGGAACGAAGGAGAGAGAGAGGATTCTTCCGTTGTGGAACGCCTTTCGGGCCAAAAATAATGATACTAGTTAACCCGCTTTTCTTCCTAACTACATCTAAGGAATCATCGATGATATGTACCTAAATAGATCACCCCCTTCCTTTCCTAGTTTCTTTTCTTCTTCTTCTCTTTTTTTTTTACCCAAGCAAGGAAGACTTGAATTCAACTTTGGAATGGAAGCAAAAGGACGAAAAAGCCTGGTTTTTATTTTGCCCTCCGGATTTTATTTTATTTAGAACATCACGGATGCGACGCGACGCGACTTCAATTCAAACTTAATTGATAATTAATTGATAACATACATACGTCTTCGGAGCGGAGCATTTTGTTGCTTTGCCATGACGTTCATATACTACTGAGCAGTTCACAGTCACTCGCTCTTTCATTCCCTTCTTGCAGAGAAAGATTAGTGTTAATTTTCCTGGACCTCATACTTCCATAATTCTCTGATGGCCTTCTGAAAACATTGAGCCATTTAGAGATAATAATGGAGCCGACCAGATCGAGCTGCCCCCCTTTTCTCCTCTCCCTCCCACCATTCATCAGTCCCCTCCCGAACCGCATTCCGATCGACGACCTCATCTACCTCGAGAAACAGGGTGCGCTCACCATCCCCGAGCCGGCGCTCTCGCCATGCCTTGCTGCACAGCTACGTGGAAAACGTCCACGCGCACCTGCCCCTGCTGGATCTGCAGGACTTGATTCCGCCCGTGATCGCCAACAACAACGGTGCATGCGGATTGGGATTGGGGAAACAGATCAGTTTACTTCTTTTTCAGACGGTTATGTTTGCTGGGTCGACGTTTGTGGATATGCCGTTTCTCTATGCTGCGGGGTATACGTCTAGGAAAGCGGCCCAACGGGCGTTTTTTGAGCGGGCGAGGGTAAGTTGGAGTTGGCCATCTTCTTTCTTCCTCCCCCCCACCTCCCGATTGGGGTCTGGAGTTTTCGATTCTGAGTCAGGAAACAAACGTCTAGTTGTTGTATATTCTCGACTGTGAAACGGATCGGGTTGCCCAGCTGCAGGCGGTGCTGCTGTTCACGTATTGGTCCGGAGAGCGGAACGATGCCCTCCGGGACAATTGGCACTGGATGAATATCAGCTTGTCCATGGCCCAGGCTCTCGGTCTGCATCGACAGACGGCTGGGGATAGTGATGGTGCCCCTCGATGTCATGCAAACAGAAGGAAAAGGGGATTGGAAAGACGTCTGTGGTGGTCCTGTTACATCCGAGACAAGCTGATTGCTCTGACCATGCGGCGGCCCTTTCTGATCGACGGGGCTGATTGCGATGTCCCGATGCTCGTGCTGGAGGACTTCGAAACCGACATCGCGCAACCGACGGTGGCCAGCATGCTGCGACGATATCCGGCTGTCGCAGATACCTTCCGCCGCACGGAGCTGGCGGTAATCTGCATCGAGCGGGCCAAATTGTGTCTGGCGGTCGGCAAGGTTCTGTCGACACAGTATACGGTCGAAGTCCGTGCTTGCACGCCAGACGACCCCGAACCAAGGACCTATGTGGCCCCCAAGAAGAAGCGGGCTTCTCCAACGCGGCAAGACGTGATGGACTGTGTCTCCGTGTTGGACGCCTGGAACAGGAATCTGCCCGAAGCGGCCCGGTATTGGGACGATCCCTCGCATCCACTCTTCTCGATGCGGGAGGTGACCAAGATCCATCGAGCGACACTCCGAATGATCTATCTCGCGACGTTGAGCGCCCTCTTTCGGCCGCTCGTGTCTTCGCCACTGTCTTCCCGGGCGGAATTTGCGTCCATGGCCTATTTAGCCCAGTCTCGATCCCGAGAGACCGCGTTCGAGACTGTCAAGTTATCTGAGGACCTCAAATGTCGGGGCCTAGTTCCGCTTCTGCCGCCGGTCGGCGTCACGGCTCTGGTGCCGACTGCGTATACTCTGTTACTTGATGTCGGATCGGAGGACGTCCAGCGACGCAACTCCGCGTGGGAACAGTTGCAGCGGTGTCTCGAGACGTTGAGTGTCCTGCGAGATCTCTACGCCACCGCTGAGCTGGCAACGACGTTCCTTCGAGATATCATTGCGAAGGTGGGGAGGGCCACTCTGGTGCCGGCGCAGGCACAGTTGCAAGCGCAGATTGTCGACCGCGATGGGGTGGATACCGATATAATACGATAATCGCAGCTGGGCGGGCGGATATCCGATCCGTGGGAGGCTTTAACGAGAACAATAAAAATAATATCTAGAAATATCTGTCTTCCAACTTGATCACGTGTGTATATGCATGTATGTATTTGCGGCGTATGGGTGAACTCTGCCTCTCCCAGCAAGTAAACCACACTTTAAACACTTGCGGTAGAGTCTATAATCAACTAATTGTGTTGACTACTTCGTTTCCAATTATTACTGTTACAAAAAAAAAAAACCTCGTCTTCGCTCCATAGATCGAGCAGTACGAGTATAGTGGATTGGTCGCCATCTAGTGACTTGACTAACATTTGCAGATGACAGTACGTACATTCATTCATCGATGTCATTTCATCTCCTTCTTTGGGCCAGTACTGTAAGAAGAGTGCTTTCTCCTAAAGTGATCTTTATGGTTGGCTCTTCGCGAGAATGGCCTGCGGTGCCGCTCACAGCTCTCGTCCGGACACTGGTAGGAGGGCCTGGCTCCAGGCTCGTTATGTTTCTCTTGTCTGCGGCGTTCGAGATCCTTGCGGTACTGAAACCTGCGCCTGCAATGAGGATGAGGACACTGGAAAGGCGGGTCGTGCTTTTTCAAATGGCGGCTGATTATTTGAAAGTCAGAAAGGAGAGGACATATAGTGAGGGAGAATTGCAGAGCTGCTCTTGGCCTTTGTAAGTTCCTTCCCTCCAACCCACCACCCCCCCCCAAAAAAAAGAGAGAACGAAAAGAAAAAGTGACCGCATACTTCAACTCGTATTGCTTGTCGAACACCTTCTCACAATAAGCCATACGGACAAACGAGCGTGCAAGATCGAAGTAAGAATGATGGACCTGGTGTGTGTGCAGCCGAGTCATGTTGACCAGAATTATTTTGACTTGCAGACGACGATCCAGAGAATAGTAGACCTCTCTGCTCCTCCTCTGAGGTACTTCTTCTACTGACACATGGTTCCAAAGTAAGCTTGGTTGTGTTGTGTTCTGTTGTGTTGGGTTGGGTCGGAATTTCAGATATCAGTAGTTGCTGGGTCTCAGAGGGAGTAGGCTCGAGAGGTCGGGGGGGGGGGGGGGGGGGAGATAATGGCAAAAGCCAGGACTGGGTTCAGGATCGAGGATTGATGCGGTAGGACAGATAAGGTGGTGCTGAGACGAGATTGCAAAAAAGAGTGACTGACTTCTTTGATTACGGGCGAGGGCACAAAGGGCCTCTGCACAGAAAGGAAAAAGAACGCTTCTCGAGGAAATGTTACTGAAGCTGTACTCTTACATGGAAGTAAGCCTCAGAGCGCTGGGTAACATAGAGGCACCCATCCCATGGACCTATCGGATGATGGAGGATTTTATTATACAGCCAATCTGCAGGGATTTACATGCATGCAGGGTGCGCTATTTTCAGGCCTACCAGAATCGTCTCATGCTACTGGTCTTTTGCTTCCCCATCCTGCAGCGCACCTGGCTACCACCTGTACGGAATAAACGCCCATGGAGAAATGCTAAGGCGGTTATTACTGGTACGGGAGTATGTGGAGTCCCTACCAACACGCTAAAATAAGGCCTACAACAGGGGTCCAAGAGATACAGTTGGTTCATTGTAAACCGGTGTCGGAGGCGGGCTCCGTCTTGGGTCCATATCTAGTTCTAAATAATGATATAAAGTCGCTTGAGAACCTTTGACTGTCCCACACCTCAGGCTCAGTCCTGGTCTCGGGAGGCTGCAAGAGCGGATGCCCTTTACTCTAGCAGACACAGAAACTGAAGATGAAGTTCTTCCGTTGGCGTACATTCTCATCGACGAAGGAAGAAGCGGGGCGCTGCGACGGAAGTTGATGATCCGTTGGAGCACGGCTGACACGGTGATGCATGAAGCTTTGAACGGGACTTCGATCGTCTTCTCTGCTGTGGTGCTGAAATCCAACGTTGCAAAGCTCCTCGACAGTACCGGTTTCAAACGAGTGGAGACAGTCAAACAGCTTCAGGAGCTCGATCTCTCACAGGCAGGGAAAGAGGAAGCTATCATCGGCCTTCTCTGCTGAGAGAAGAAAAAAAGAATGGTCACTGCAACCTCCGAGAGTCGATCCCAGCTGTGACAAGGAAGGGGATAGGACGAAAAGGTTGAGATTATGAGCATGAGCATGAGCATGATCATGAGCATAAAGGGGGAGAAAGGTTCTACAAGCGCTGTTATATAGGAAGACGATATACTGATAATGGAGGAGACTTGATTCTTGATTTCTCATCATGATAGGTAAAACTAACTGGAAAGTGTGGTTCTCAGATGGTCCTCGTTTTACAATAACAACTTTGGTTCATTATTGAACTCTTCTAATACAATGCAAAAGATGCAAAGGGTGTGTAAAGGGTGTGCAGATCCAACTAAAAACAAAGAAATGCCGTGACATTCACTTGTAACCATCTGCAGCATGTATGGGGAAGTCCTCCGGTGGACGAATTCTAACTCTTAACTCCACGCCGCCAGGAAATCCAACGCCCCAGCCAGCTCCCTCCGGATAGTCGCAACATGCTGCTCGCTGCGCGGCGTAATCCGCACTTTGAACGGCAGCGGGGCCTGCAGGATGCCCGGGTTGTATCGGTCCGGATCCAGGGGCATGACCTTGCCTGTGGCCGGATCGATCGGTTCGGCGAACTCGTATGCCCAGAGGAGTTTGGCAGCGATCCGCCACATGTTGCGCTCTGCGAGGTGGATGCCAGGGCAGAGACGACGGCCGGCGCCGTAGCCGTAGTGGTGTATATACAACTGAACCGGTCAGTCGAAATCAATACTACCTAGGTAAGGTCCGATATTTCCAGGTGGGTTGGGGAAAGAAAGAACCAAGGGAATGAATAATCAGGGGACTTATCTCGGTTGCTCCAGTCCGGGCTTCCCGCATAGTCATTCGCAAGCTTCGGGTGATTCTTGTATCGGTCCGGGTTGAAGGTGTCATGGTCGGGGAACAGGTCTTCCGAGTGATGAATGGCCCAGGTGGCCACAAAGACGGTTGAGTCCTTGGGAATCAGCATTCCGTCGTACCAGTCATCTGGAAGTTCAGTTAGAATCTAGTCTATGTAGTCATGAGGGGGAATATTATCTAAACCTGCCTTCTCGAACACGATGCGGGAGTCCTGTTACGGCCCTACATAACTTTCCATCAGAGAAAAGCAACAGATTGATCAGATCGATAACACTCACACGGGCCTCCATCTCATCCCTTCTTTCACGATCTGGTTGATATACGGCAGATCTTTAAAGTCGGACCACTTGGGCGGCTTGTCGGGTGGGCAGACGGCATCGATTTCCTGTCTTGCTCTCTCCTGAACATGAGGATTCTTTGCAAAGGCCAGGATCAATGTCAGAATCTGGGCGGCCGTCGTATCTGCTGCGCCCTCGACAACCTCGCCGACCAGGTTGTTGAACGCGTGCTGGGACATCGGCCACCCCTTTTTGTTGTATTCGTCGAGCAGCCGGTCGATGATACATTCACGCTTATCCCCCTTAGCGCGACGCTCCTCCACAATCTGCCGGGCCTTTCCCCAGATCGTGTCGAACACCACGCCCGCTGCGAGAGCCCGTCGTTTCCAATAGGCAAATCGCTTGGGGATCAGCTTCAGGATCGGATACTCATCCACCGGGGGATTGGCCCCGGCTTCCATTGCTTCAGTCCATCGGTCCATCACGTCATAGACGGCCTGAACAGCAGTCAGTTATAGTCACAGAGTCCATATAGATGATAGGGTAGGAATTGCATACGTGTCCCCAAAATGAATCGAACGTAGGACCACGATGTCCAAACGCGAGTGCAGAAGCAACCGAAGCGGTATATCTTCGCACGTGGTTGAAGAATCCGTCCGGATTATCCAGTAAATCGTTCATCAACACGGTCGCCCTGTTCGCAGAAGTCAGCCAAGAAATCGATCAAAAATGCAAGAAAGTGGTTGAGACAAAGCCGTACTCCGCTTCCTGGACGAGAAAGTGCTTCTCGTCAAGATTCTTGGGTGAGAAATTGTGCGAGATCACTTTGCGCTTCTCCCGCCAGACGGGGTCCATCTGTTCCAGGGCGATGTGGTCGCCCTGCGTCAGCAATTTACCGACATAGCTGGGCGGACGATCCGAATAGATGGCGCCTTTCTTGTCCAGCAGCGCGTGGATCGCTTTCCGGTCACAGAGCACGATGATGTTGGTCGGACCGAACTTGAGCGAAAAGACGGGTCCATATTCTTTGGCCCAATCCCGGAATCTGGGGCACGTTCCCTTCAGCAAGTGGGAGTGAGGAGGAGGGGTGGTTACCACGGCCAACTTACTTGGCATATAGCCCACTGGAGGGGATTTGATGGAAATTGCCGAGAATGGGAAGTGTCGGAGGGCCTTTGGGCATACGCGGATCGCGTTTTCCAATCTGCAGGAGACGATAGATGCCCACGATGAGGACAGCACCCACAGCAGCCAACACGGCCGTGGTGCGGCCTGGGATATTATGCGTGGAAGATGACCAACTCTCCATTTGGGATGGGAAGAGTTACTCTCAGAGGGAAAGAAAAAAAAAGGGGGGGTGATGGTCTTTTCTTCGAAGTAGATCGAGGGAAAAGAAGACTGCCTCTAAAAGGGTCTGGATCTGTTAATAGCAATTATGCCCGCACCGGTCCACCGAGACCCAGGATTTCGGAGTTCACTTGGCCTGATTCATATGCTCCTCCGCTCCGCCCGTTCGGGACATCTTCGGGACAATCCACGCGGTAAAACAACAAACTCACCGGTGGGATGGGATGGAGCCCCGGATCCCGTCTCAGCAGCCCCGCTGAAATCTCTACAAACCCCTCGTTATCGACGTCATCGTCATCATTATTCTTGTGCTTACATGTTATGCATGAGATGGAGATAATACCTCTGCCGGCCAAGATCGGCTTCCGCTCTGGTTCCTGCATTCCCCGTGAATACATGTATTATTACTAATGTGACACTCTAGACTATGCGGAAAACACGCAAAATCGAATCTTTTACTTGGCATGTCCGTGAAACTCCATTGCTTTCTCTCGGATGCAAATCCAGACACTCAAGACACCGCTCCAGCGAGACTCCGGCCGGCCCGGTACGCAAAGGTCATGCCGGGACCAATGCTGGAGCCTCCACCAGGATAGGCGCCCTTGAAGACGGAATTTTGGTCGCAGCCAACCGCGTACAAGCCATCAATGACCTTGCCGTCCTTGTCAAGCACCTGGGCGTCCGTGTTGGTGATGAGACCGTACAAGGTGCTGACATTGCCGGGGTACAGCGGCAGTGCATAGAAGGGACTTCGCGTGCAGGGCCTCAGGTTCGGGTTCGGTTGGACCGCTGGATCGCCATAGAAGCGGTCGTAGGCATTCCCTCCACGGTCGTACTGAAGATCCTTCCCGGTTGCGGCGAACGAGTTATATTCTGCCACAGTTCGCTCCAAGTTCTGAGCCGGAACCCCAATCTTCTCCGCCAAGGCAGAGATGCTCGGTGCAGAGATCAGGTAGCCCTGTCGTAGGAGATTCCAGATGGGATACGGCCACGGCAAGGCCATTCCCATCCCGTACTTGCGCAGATGGGTGCGATCACCAATGTAGTACGCCTTCTGGATGCCTTTCCGGTGCATGGCCGAGACAAACTCCTGGTATGGCTCCGACTCGTTCGCGAAGCGCCTCCCATCGGGGCCAACGATGATGGATCCGGGCTTCGATCGGTCAATCGCGAAGTGCGGAAACCGGCGAACAGGGCCATCTGGCACATGCAGGAGCGATATGGGCGCGAAGATGGCATTCATTGGATTTTTGGGAGGCAGAGCCCCGCCACTTTCCACCCCCATTCGCTTCCCATCGCCGGTGTTGCCTCGGGACGCAGCGCACCATTCATGCGGGACGAATTGCTTCGCTTCCTCCGATCTCCCGAAGCCGCCGCTTGCCAGGACGACTCCTTTGCGGGCGTGGATGTACTTCTCCTCGCCGTTGCGCAGAACCTGGAGGCCCATCACTCTGCCCTGGTCGAGCACCGTCTTGATGGCCGGAGTGTTGTTCCACATCTGGACGCCTTGCTCACGAGCCGAGTAGAGGAGCCGTCCCACCAGGGCATTTCCGTTTGCCACTGGCCGTGCCTTTGCCCCAGCGAACCAGGTCTACCGCATATCGAAGCGCTTTCTTAGTCCCATGCGCCAGGTTGCCGACGGTCCCAAATGGATTGGTGAGCATCGGCAACTCCTCGGGGTCGGCCTGCATTGACCCAAATGCAGCATATCCTTGGATTTGGTAGCGAACATCCCGGATCAAGGGGCCGAGCTGACGGCCGTCGAACTCTTCCGTCAGGAGCGTCCGTCCAATCGAGGCGCCTTTCTTTGAGATATGGTAGTCGGGCAGGGGAACCGGCTTGAAGCGGAGCACGGAGTTGGCTTCCATCCATGCCACCATCTCGGGCCCGGACTGAAGAAAGACGGGAATCTTCTCCGTGTCGTAGAGATCGCCTAACACATTGTGAAGATAGGTTTCGGCCTGGGCGGGGGAATCTTCAATCCCTATCGACGGTTGATGTTTGTTGTTGGGAATCCAGGCTCCTCCGCCAGAGTAGGCAGTCGTGCCGCCGAAGTATCGTGTCTTTTCGAGGACGAGCACGCTGAGGCCGTATTTGGCGGCGACAAATGCGGTCGTCAGTCCTGAGCAGCCGGAACCGACGACCACCACGTCGTAAACTGCATCGTAATCCGTAGGCTGGATACTGTATGTCAGCAATTTTGTCCACTATGAATCATTCGAGACGAATGGATAGACCTTCCTGATGATGGCGACTACTATATCTGCGATAATTGAACGGTCTCCGTATGGAAGAGAAGTAACTCAGTCTCCGCAGGGGGGAAGTACCACCCGGACTAATCATCTCGGTCTTGTATCCGCGATGCTGCAATCGGTACCAAAAAAGAGGACTGGTAACCTCGCCGGTACTGGGCACAGGGGTATAGGATACCTAGTAACGTAGTGTACAAGTTCTATTATATTCATCGATATATTCTACTCTGGTGAAGATGATATGTTGTTCCGCTCTGGTAGAGGTGACCATCTATTCTATTTCCCGTTATTCGGCTCCTCTTCGGACTATTTTCAGGAACCGTCGTTCATGC